TAACATCTCATGCATATCTTACTGCCATCTTCTACAATCAGATCTTGGTTTATAAGCATATGTTTCAACCAAGTATTATGCGGGGAGTCCAGCAATCTGGCTGTTTTACCGTCCTTTTTTATATCCTTAAATCTTTTCCTTCATTCTGGCATGATACAGGCATCACCCATGATGAAAGAATAATTTGAAGACTACTAGTATAGCTAGCTATGGATTACAAGATGTGAGTATGTGTGATCATGTGTACCTTGAAAACTGAAGTGATCCTATCACCACATCCCTATACCTTGGTATATTTTTCCTAAACTGCATTTCACATAAAAACAATATGATATAAACGGGTTTTTTATCCAAGGAGGTCAATTACCACAACCTATTTATTTAGGCCATTGTACATATCCTAACTGCAATTCTACCATTAGGATTCCATTTGTAGTCCATTTAGTTAAACAGTTGATCAAGACTCTACTATAAACCATATCATCCACCTTGCTAGTATATTGGAATGATTTTGGGTTAATTATGAAATACTTGCATTGACCTGTAGTTATTGAAGATTTATTTTGACATTGGTCGTACACCATATTAATACCGATTTTTTCGAAATTTCTACTATCGTCAGTCAACATAATGTGCCAAATAATATCCAAAATATGTCGGTGTACAAACATCGAAATTGTGTCTATCACTTCCGTAAAGATGCGAAACAACTAAAAATGTACATAACATAATAAACTTTTATGTGTGAGAGACTGCATAACTTTTTTATTTGGCAACATCTAGCTTTATAGTTGGGCTCATCATAAGCAGCAGACCTTATTGATGAAACTTTGATCAGTTGCGATAATAAATTGGTGCGACATATTGTTAAAGGATCAAACATGACTATAGTCATAAGGTTATTGCATTATATTTGGAAATAGACGTTGCTACAATTTGACATTTATATGACAAATTTACCGGTTCTCAAATTTTCTGAAATTTTCACTATAGTATCTCAACATAATGTACCAAATAATATTAAAAGATTTTTGGTGTACAAGAACCGGAAAATTGGTGTGTTACTTCCGTAAACAATTGATGTAGCAAACAAGTGTATGAAAATACCAAATTGTTTAGACTTTAAGATTTTATAACTTTTTTATTATGCATTTTTTTGTTACATATTTGAGTTCATAATTTGCAGCAGATCATACTTTAAATAATATAATATTATTTGATAGCGTAAAACATTGTTTTGATAGTTTTTTGGACAAAAAAATGAACCCTGTCGTACACCTTTGGAAGGCGGCACTAAATAGTTCATAGCACAGGCCCTGGGGACCTTTTTATTTTTTTAAAATTATCTCATGGGTCGTGTCTTAGGGAGCTACAAATATAAACCAGTAATGGTTAAATTGCTTTGTGGGCAAAATTCTTTTGTTCCTGTAACAGGTCCTTTAGTTTATTCGGCCTTCTGTATCAATATACTACTGCGAAGTAAAGTTTGACTTTTTCGTATTTCTAATGGTTATTTTTGTCACAAGTTGGTTGACTATGCTGGTGAATTATCACTACCCGAGAATAGAAAACAAAACATCTTGCTCCAAAAGAGAGGTGAGGGTGATTGTGGTCAACCATATAGAGTACCATTGAATATGAATACACCTGTTTCATCAAGATGAAACTGTAAATATATGTATATATTAGTTGTGTGTTTATTATGAAGATTTTGTGTTATGTATATATACAGTAATAAGGGCGGTTGATTTGAAGTACATCTGGCTGTTATCTATTGATAAAAGCAACGACATTAAATATTGCCTGCAGGAAGGAATGCAGGCTAGAAGTATAGTTTATGCGGAGGTCAATACTACATGAGATTAGCAATGTTTGATTGTTATGAACTGGTAGTATTTGATATTCTAGTATAACTTGCTAAAATTGAGGTAAACAGCAACTATAAGGAAAGCTCAAATTATTTTGTTACTAAAGCTTAAAACGAATAGAAACTATATACAGTGTTCTGAAAACATTTGCAGAAATACAGCAGTAGGAAAAAAGTGCCTATTAAAACCCTTTATAATTTAACAATTCATGGCTGCAACACATTATACACTTCAAGCTAAATTTTTAAGTAAACTGTACCATTGTAAATATCGGTAACAAGGTTACAGTCAACCTCGAGAGTTAACTACCTTATTACGTCAAATTATTAGTTGAACAGAAAAAATATATAAACTAGAGGGAGGTAATCAGATAGAACTAGTACAATATATAAACTAGAGGGAAGTAATCAGATAAAACTAGTACAATATATAAACTAGAGGGAGGTAATTTGATAAAACTAGTAGAACATATAAACTCGAGGGAGGTAATCAGATAAAACTAGTACAATATATAAACTAGAGGGAGATAGTCAGATAAAACTAGTACAATATGTAAACTAGAAGGAGATAGTCAGATAAAACTAGTACAATATATAAACTAGAGGGAGGTAATCTGTAAAACTAGTACAATATATAAACTAGAGGGAGGTAATCAGATAAAACTAATACAATATACAAACTAAATGGAGGTAATCTGATAAAACTAGTACAATATAAAACTATTACAATATACAAATTAGAGGGAGGAAATCAGATAAAACTACTACAATATATAAACTAGAGGGAGGTAATTAGATAGAACTAGTACAATATATAAACTAGAGGGAGGTAATCAGATAAAACTAGTACAATATATAAACAAGAGGGAGGTAATTAGATAAAACTAGTACCATATATATACTAGAGGGAGGTAATCAGATAAAACTAGTACAATATATGAACTAGAGGGAGGTAATCAGATAAAACTAGTACAATATATAAACTAGAGGGAGGTAATCAGATAGAACTAGTACAATATATAAACTATAGGAAAGTAATCTGATAAAACTAGTACAATATAAAACTATTACAATATATAAACAAGAGGGAGGTAATCAGATAAAACTATTTCAATATATAAACTAGAGGGAGGAAATCAGATAAAACTAGTACAAAATATAAACTAGAGGGAGGTTATCAGATAGAACTAGTACAATATATAAACTAGATTGAGGTGATCAGATAAAACTAGGACAATATATAAACTAGAGGGAGGTAATCAGATAAAATTAGTACAATATATAAACTAGAGGGTAGTAATCAGATAGAACTAGTACAATATATAAACTAGAGGGAGGAAATCAGATAAAACTAGTAGAACATATAAACTAGAGGAAGGTAATCAGATAAAATTAGTACAATATATAAACTAGAAGGTGGTAATCAGATAGAACTAGTACACTATATAAACTAGATACAGGTAATCAGATAAAACTAGTACAATATATAAACTAGAGGGAGGTAATCAGTAAAACTAGTACAATATATAAACTAGATGCAGGTAATCAGATAAAACTAGTACAATATATAAACTAGATGCAGGTAATCAGTAAAACTAGTACAATATATAAACTAGAGGGAGGTAATCAGTAAAACTAGTACAATATATGAACTAGAGGGAGGTAATCAGATAAAACTAGTACAATATATAAACTAGAGGGAGGGAATCAGATAAAACTAGTACATTATATAAACTAGAGGGAAGTAATCTGATAAAGCTAGTACAATATATAAACTAGATGCAGGTAATCAGATAAAACTAGAACAATATATAAACTAGAGGGAGGTAATCAGATAAAACTAGTACAATATATAAACTAGAGGGAAGTAATCTGATAAAACTAGTACAATATATAAACTAGAGGGAGGTAATCAGATAAAACTAATACAATATATAAACTAGAGGGAGGTAATCAGATAAAACAGAAGATTGACACATGCAGTTTGTTCCAATAGGATTTCCTACAGTCTGCTGAAAAAAAACTTACCACCGAACTCAACAAAGATAATGTCAATTATTCATATTGCATTTTGGCCTTTGATAGGCTTTTCACAAAATATCTGAAACAAAACCAAACAATTTTCAGCCACATATTTATATGGGAGTGTAAAGGTAGAAAATAACAAAGTTTTGACAAAAGAAACATTTTAAGAAGAGGAAATGTAAGATTTATCAAAAAGATCTTTTGAGTTCTCCACATAATTCCACTTTTTGAGTGTACAGTGTCACAACACGACTGTAACCCTGGTTCAATGGTACTGGGAATGGTAGTGAGAAGTTTGTATAATGGCTCGACTGATCAATCAGAAGATCCAGCGATAAAACTGCTTATAAGGATTCTTGTCAAGTTTCTAAATCCAATACAGTCGAGATACGAAGACGAAAGCGCCTATTTAAAATCTAAGTTAATCGCAAAGACTTCTGAATCCAATTTAATTTGATCATATGTATACTTTGAAACACATGTAGGCAAACCGGTTATGCCGTATTAACAAAAATACCCCTCTCACTTTTTACATAACACGCATGATGAAAACTAATGTCAGTTTCTAGTCATGATGTTATCCTGATATGAGATGCGGTGTGATTTATTCTTTTTCATGTTTGTGAATGTGTGCAAATAAATGAAAACAAGAAAATGAAAATAAATGATAAAGGACAAATTTAAGAACTCCTACAACAACACTAAAAGCCGGACATCTTGCGTTTTAGTATTTCGTATATTACCACGCAAAAACCAAAGTTATGATGTCCACCCGACTCTTGTTATCTTACGATGTGCAACATTACATTAGAGGGAACCCCCTGAGGAGCTCTTACATTGGCTAATGGCATATCAGGCTATGCTAACCCGTACAAAACATCAGAGACCATAATAGATTGTGTACATGTGTACTTCATCAGGTGTTTCACCTTTAATGATAACTCCTACCACAACCAGCGATATATAGGACACTCTGAAAGTGAAGTCTCGTTCATAGTTTTTTTCCAGTGAAACAACAACTTTACCATGTCAATGTGTTGTCTGCGCACGTTTGTACGATTTGATAAATATTCATAGAATTATTCTTAGATGTGATCTGTATCACCCATAGGCTGCTTTTATATGTTACGTCTCTACAGCAGACGAACTACACTAAACCATGGATAAAGAGAAAGTGGAGACTTTGGCGTGTAAATCTGCATTGTATTATTACGGGAAGGCGTGCAACTATGATGAGGTAATATATATATAAACAGGTACATGCTCTGATACCTCTGAAGAATTCATTATACATCAACCCAATACAAAGCAGTTAGCGCCTGATAAGGCACGTCCTGCGATTTCCTCAAAATTGAATTGATTAATGTATATGTTAGTTGTATTGATTGTCTGTGTACTTATATCAATTTAGAGTGGCTTATTCTAGCTAGATAGGGCGCTATATCAAATGTTGTATATTATAATTTTATCATTATTTAACTAGACACCTTTGTAAAGTATATCATTATGAAAGAATACAGTAGTCCAATTATTCCGTCTCTGCGTATTGCAGAATTATCTTCTCTTGTGAGTAGGTATTGATTGTTACGTCATTGGTTTGTGTGAGAAAAGTACGTCGTTCTCTCAAAAATTGATGACGTTACTCTCACAAACAAATGACGTAACAATCAATACCTGCTCACAAGAGCAGATAACTCTGCAATACAAAAAGACGGAATAACAATTTGTTAGCATATCATGATAACACGCCACAAAGCCGCGAACGTGTTAGACGTACACATTTCGGTTTGGGATCCTTTCCCCTTCAGGAGTCGGAAGCATTGGGCTATAAAGGACCATCTACTGCAGCAAGGGCTTTGGCCCGGATATTCCAAAATGATAGGAAGAACAGGGTCATTCTAGATATCGGAGGAGGGACTGGTTTAGTTGGAGAAGAGGTTTGTTTTCATTTTGTATGTCACAATAACATGTATTTATTATATTTCCTTGACATGTGTACATATTTCCTTGTGAAGTTAATGCGGAAAGAATATATTGCAAAGTTATGAGTATTTTTTACCCTCTCAATATACAGTATAAGCACTGTTGAGACACTATTCTGAGTTTATAGACAATATTAACCTTACTAGTTCATGGATACATCCTATATGTTGTTCTCAGAATTGTCATTTGATTCACCTTTCTATCAAACCTACATACATTATTCATTAATTTTATCTTTTGAATGCCATTGCTACTGCGTTCAAAGTTAAAGAAGGAAGGATTTGAGATAATGGATATTTTGGATTCATCTGACAAGATGCTGGACATTGCACGACAGAGGTGTATTTATGGAAATGTGATCACAGATACATGATATGCTATGAGTGTTATACAATTCCTGCTGACCAATGCTTTTGTTTTACTTGTCAAGGCCAAAATAAACGCTTAGAATCCCAGAATCCCAACCTATTAACCATAAACGTGTTGTTTTTAGCCCGGGAAAATCACATTCCAACGTTGTCTCTTAAGTCCCAGTCTCTAGGGCAGAACATGGGAACGGTTAGGATATTCACCTTAACCATGTGTATATATAAAACATTGCTTGGCACGAAGAGAAAATTCAGTAAATGCTACCAGGATCGGTTCCAGATACCCTCCTTATTTTAGTATAAACAAATGTTTTTTTGGCGCTTGGCCAAAAATATGTTTTTGGCTTTTTAAGTCTACTCCTCTTGGGCAATTCATAACATTTCAACCAAATGTCAATGAAGTATCCTTGGTAGTATTGAAGGAAATGTTATATACAAATGTAAACGACGAAATCTGAGAAGCAAAGTCAAAGGTGGGGAAATGTTTACAATACTGTTTTACGGATAACTTTTGACAAGGATTGCTTAATTATAGAGGTCATCCTATTATGTATCTTTAATATAGTATGATGCTGTCCTTGTTGTTGGTATTACATCCGAATACGTTTGTATATCAAATAGTTACGATGCTGTCTTAGGTGTCGGTTTTATTTCATCCTATTACGTTTGTATGTTGCAGATAGTTACGATGCTGTCCTAGGTGTCAGCATCATCTGTTCTTTGCAGCCTGGTTTCATGTGTTCTGACATTAAAGAAATGATAAGACTCGCTAAACCAGGTACGCTTTTAGTTTGATCAAAACTTGAATATTTCAGTTAATGTATATTTCTTTTTAAAATTCATGCTTCTTCTGAAGTTATGAAGTTCAATTGTACTGGCGATTCTGTTAATCCTGATAGAGAACAACAAAGAGGAAATAAAAAACTTAATCAAAGGCGATATCGACAAAACAGACTGAAGATAATTAAACCATGGTAAACTATTCTTAATAATTATAAGACAAAGCATATGAAAAATATAGGAAGTCTTTATCATGTGTTTCCATCAACGCCGCCATAGCTTTTAGTTGGTATTTCTAGATTTCTAGATATAACGGTAGTTAGAAATTGAATTTAGGTGAAATTTCTACTTGACTTAGGCAATATGTGTATATAAATGACAAGGTATTAGGAGTGTCATTTAAAATGAGTTCGCAGTTCTTTGTGAAATAAGTTTTCTTTAAATGATCATTCCAGGTGGAATAATTCTGATGATATTGAGGACAGAGACTTTGTACTACCACTTCTTCAAGGATAAACTGATACCATTCTTTGACGAGCTCCAGTCGGAAGAAAAGTGGAAACAGCTAGAGCGGTCCCAATTTAAATATATGTATGGCGTAGAGGGGCAGCTGTTTGTTTATCAAAAGCTGTAAAATATTAATACTTACACAATGGAAAGACTTGTATTCTGCATTGCAAAAAAACAAATAAAAACGAATATGTTTTAGACAATACATTTATATAGAACAATGCCATTGTATTACTTGTAATGCAATAAAACAGTTAACGGCATCCCTTTATCTGATGGTGGTATGTATTCATTTCAAAAGTATCCATATTTAATTAATAAATACTTTGAAGCACCTGCTTAACGTTTGAACATTTTTATTGTATTTAATTTTTATTACAACTCATACGTGATATTGCCTGCAAGTACGTCAAGTGATTGACCGATGAAAGCTGTCGCTACATCAGACAGATCTACTAGTATCCTTCTACACGCCTGTACCTTAATTATTGCTATGACTTTCTAGTCTTGGACAATTGACTGGTGTACACTCCTCCGAGAGTTTTGTTATTTATTCCAACTCATATAATACCTGATTGTTGGTTAGCATATTCCTTTCATTGTATATCTTATATAAAGCTCATAATGATTTAGAAATAAGTCAATCAAGAGATAGACACTGTTTTGTTATTATTCAGACATAAACAATCTTTTCACTTAAAAAGCCCTATCTTCCTATTTCTGGTAAGTGCAGGTTCATGTACAGGCGACTTGATACCATTGGACTGACTAGAACATGTAACAAGGCGTTGATTAATGCATCAATTAAAACATATTATACTATTGAATCATTTATTATTTACTGACAGAATAAACCCTGTCACTGAATTACATCCACCTCAATACACAAAATTGTATCCACCTTAATAAACATAATTACATCCACCTCAATACACAAAGTTGATATTACTGTTCGGCACATCATCATCACGGACCCAGTGACGATTCTAAAGGGGGATACATCTTAATAATGACCAAAAACTGATCTTAACTCATAAGTCACTAAACGGTAGGTCATGCGTCATAAAGTCATAGGCCATGTTAAAGAATCACTCGGCCACACTCTAAATATGGGGCCTAATATACTTAATCTAAATCTAAGTCGTTGCGATGGAAGAACAGGATCAGCATTAACGCCACTCTAATCTTTGTGGAGTTTAACATATAGATAGAGTAAAGAAATGTGATGTATAAACGACAGAATACACATCTTGAACCGTAAACAATGCCGGAGTCGTACTAGGTACTCGAGTAGATTTTTCCTGTTCAGTTCCTGTTCCTCGTCTTCTTCTGTATGCATGTATGTATGTATGTAGGTCACTAGCAATCTAACACGCAATGAACCAAGACCGTAAACATATACCTCATCTCTTTTACAGCGTGTCTGATCAACTTAATGTGATCTTTATCTGGAAAATAAAACATCATGTTCCCCTCATACACTCGTGAGTTTCCTTGGTTCCATTTCTCTTATTCGAAGCTGCTCTAGAATAATTAGCAAGATGCACCACACCTTAACTTTGAGTGAAGCAAACGACAACTATAGTGGGAAAGCCTGCTCATCTTCATTATTGTGTTATTCTGTTTTGGTTTAATATAGTCCCTGTAAACAGAAAAATACAAAAGCCGAAAATCAGATGCTAACAAAAAGCAAGTGCAGTTTTATTCACAACTATACCATGTATATCTCCTTTTTATGGCCTCAGTGATGTATCTATTTGTGCGACATCAAAGGACTGTCTACCCACATATCTACATATAAAATATTTGAATATTAAATAGTCAAAGAGATCTTTTTGTTTGTTTAGATCGTTATCTTTCTGTAATTGGAAAGCTCGCACGTATGGGAGGCGTCCACGTGTCACTTAAACACTTAAAGGCAAAGCAGAAGATTCGACATTGTACTATACGTCGTACTTTTAGTTATACGAGGCGAGCAAAACGAAATCATGGATGTAAACAAAGAGGACGACTCGCCTTATTATGATGGATGGGCGAACATCTATGACAAGGTAAAGTATAGGGAATATTGTGGTGAGAATCACAAAACAAGGATCAGGTAGTGGTACTTTAAGGTCATTTGTTACTGGCTGGTTGGTCGACAGGAACGACATCGTAGGAGCACGTTATTAGAGTATTTCTATTCATACTCCGAACAACATAATGTTAGTTCACAAAGACTGTCTTGATTTTTAATACTGTGTGTGTCTAAAAATAAGTTTTCTTAGAAAAGCTTAAGTCTAATACAAAAATAAAATATTTGAGCATTATCATTTGGTATGAACAGCAACTATATTGTAGCTGTTTTCTTGAGCACTAATTTGTCAACACGTAAACATAATAGTTCTGTAACAATAAAACAATAAAACAATAAAAACACAAATAAGCTAGCACTATTTGCTTCCACTTATGATCAATGTATATTTTACATTTAGTTGTCATATGCAGCAGTTGTATAGTCGGATTTCCTCCATAGCAAATTAGTACAAACCTTAATGGATATCAGAGTTTGTCAGATAGCTAGAATTAATACAGTCATTTAAAGATGAACAAGTTATTGTTTTCTTAGTACAGACGTTAATTCTATGTTATCTTCAGTGTAGTACTTATGCAGTTTACATAATTTTTATATGAAGTGTATTATGCTATTATATCCCATTTGACACGATGACCTGCTATTCCATTTTAATTTCATATCTCTTCCCGCAATTCTTGTTACCCATGCACAAAGGTTAGTCACGAATACCTATGATTGTAAAACTAAAGAACCGGAAAGGTTTATTTTTTTTTTTGGATCATGTGATAAAAATTATTTGAAAGTTGTTCCCATTTCATCGTGCATAGACTATAAAACGACTCATTTATGATTGAAAAGTGTTTATGAATATCATATACAAGGAGAAGTCGTATGTCAAGTGTATCATGTCGGGAGAATACATGACTATCTCTCGGCTACATCAACCTGTTTCTAGTGTGTTGATAGCTAGATCTTGTAATGCATACTCATCTTTAGTTCCGCCAGGCTATTTTTCTGCCATCACATATTTAAAACAAGACGAGCCGGTTGTTCAGCATCATTAAACAAACATCACTCAAGTGTAACATAATATCAGTTTTGACATACCGTAATATATGATGCATGGTATTTTTCCACATGTCTTTGGCGAGAGTTTGTAAATGAACGAAAACAGAAACAAATTTCTTATTGTCTTTAGATAAACGTCCTCCAAGCAGGTAAGTTCATGTGAAGATGGGTGCTAAACGCAATAGTAATGAAACAATATGTGACCGAGGAAGATTTAAGAACCCCCCACAATAACATAAGATGCAAAATATCTCCTTATATCCTGGTATTTTTATGTCGCCTCACACATTGGTATAGCATCTACTTAACTCTTGCTATCTTATGATTTTGGCAACCTTTATGATTGAGTGTACCAATTACTGGACACTTTTTAAGTGAAATATTAAATGTATTTTGTACCACAAGAGCAATTTTTAAAAAGTCTGATTTTCCATAAATACATTTACTTCACTTTGTTTTGGCTGAAATTGGCAGATAACTTACAGGTAAAATATTTTAGAGTCGAAAGAGGTTCTGATTAAAATTCTTCTCAGAACTAGCATCAGTTTTGAAAAATTAGGATTCTGAAAACGATATCTAAATAAATAGCGATAGCGATAGCAATTACATATTTTAAAAATTAAATTGTCCATGTAATAATAATCAGCAGCCTAAAGATTTGGTATACGGTTAAGTTTAAAGTATCCTTAAGTGAAAACTGTATACATAACATTACTTTTTTTTTGCATTGCATGACAATTTTTGGGCCGCCTTCCAACAGATGTCCTATTTTGGGTACGCGGACGTGTGAGGGAGCTCCATGCCGACCCCACAAAGACCGTTATAGCTAATTTCCGGTACGATCGGATAATACTACAGAGTGATTATCTACATTTGTGATTTATAACATGATTGAAGAGTGCACTGTCATGAAGACAAAACGTAGACATACCTCTGTTGTATATACTTTTTTATTCCTTAAGGAGTCAAAGGCAAAAGGCTACCAAGGACCTAACGTTGCTGCTAGGGCTCTGGGCAGGATGCTTTCTGGTAACAGGAAGGAAAAAGTCATTCTCGATTTCGGAGGAGGCACTGGTTTAGTTGGAGAAGAGGTTCGCTTAATAACTGTATATGATTCATTTTTAGTATATATCTATTTCTTTCCACTTTATAGAGTTTTAATCAGCAATACATTTCTTTGTTAGAACAATATTAAGGATTAAAATAAATGGATTTCCACGCGAATTTAATATGGCAAAAATGTTGATAAGTTAAATATTCACACTAACGTTTGATTGTTGAGGCACTGTTCTGAATTACAAAGATAAACCTTTTAAACACCTACAGCATATCTAGATCCTGGTTATCTCCTATAATGAAACATCGGGAAACAACATAATTAATCTGTCTATCGAATTAATATCTATGATATTTCTGTCGAATGCCATTATTATTTCAAAGTTGAAGAAAGAAGGATTTGAGAAAATGGATATTTTGGATTCATCTGACAAGATGCTAGAATTTGCAAGACAGAGGCGAGTTTATCAGAATGTGATTACGGCGGAAGTAAAGGGACATAACTCTACGCCTCTCGCGGGAGGTAATGTACATCCACTATAAGTTTCTCATAATAAGGAATAAATAACAAGGATATATACTGTTAAGGTCGTTAATCTAACTTTTATACGTTACAAACAACACAAAAGAAAGATGTGATACTGTCCTTGGTGTCGATGTTATTACGTCCTCTTATACAGTATGTGTTACAAATAGTTACGATGTTATCTTTGTTGGTAATGTTAATAAATTCTATGTCTTTCATTTGTTACAGATAGTTACGATGCTGTCCTCGGTGTAGCTGTTTTCTGTACTGTTGGGCCAAGCTTCGCGTGTTTTGACATCAAAGAGATGATAAGACTCACTAAACCAGGTAGACTTCCAATTTAACTAAATAAGATATCTCAATGACTACAACAAAACAAACCACGCTACCGGCCTCGGAGTGCTCGAGATATCTTGTTATAAATATTCTGTTTCCTTGATTTACAATTTATCCTTTTTTTGTTGACTGTGTGGTTTATTTCTATCCAATGTCTTTCCGACCACGACGTCAAATTGATTGCTTGTTTTAACACCGTTTCGAAATTGACAGTTATGTGATTTTTTTATTGGACTTTAAAACTATGTGGTATTGATGTTTAGGAAATGTAATTATATAACATATTTATAAATACATTTGACTGTCGTTTTGTTTCACTGTCCTTTCCAGGTGGAATACTCCTGGTCATACTGCGGACAGAGACCCTGTACTCCCACTTGTTCAGGGACAAACTGTTACCATTGTTTGAACATCTACAGTCGGAAGGAACGTGGAAACAGCTAGAGCGGTCTCAGTTTAAATATATGTATGGCGTTGAGGGACAGTTATTTGTTTATCAAATATTATAAAGTGTTCCAAAACAATATTTCAACATGAGACAGTGATTTAGTATTTTTTTGTGAAATAATATAATAACTATTCTGTTAACATTATTTTACGTCGGTGTAATGACCGACATATAAAACGTTTGTCAATGTCTAATCCTGTTACATCATACACATCGAAATGTTTGCCAACCATTGCAAAAAATAAATAACTAAAAGACCCAGGGTGTTGGTATTTAGCTGGTGACATACTTGGATAAAGGGCTACACAGTTTGTTCAAACAAATGACCTTAACCTTCTTTCAAGGATACATGGGTCAAATGTAAATTTTGATAGTCAACACTCGGGTGTAAATACCCGTTGGTATGTTTTTGGGGATGGGTTGATGACAGCTGTTGCTATACTGGTACCATAGGTGAAATATTGGATGGACAGATCCTTCTCCATATGTACCGTTGTTTAATGCCATATGTTTAGTCTTAAATAATTGATGAACTTATCATTCTTTCAGTGTATCGTTTTTTATTTTAACCTATTTATATATCTGATTGATGTTTTGATATATAACGGTGTACACTTTAAGGGTTTCCTGTTTAGCGTTTGCTCTTTTTCCTTTCTTCCAAATCCCTGCATTCTTTCCTCGTATGCGTTCTCGTAATATGTTTGCATTTTGTTCATGGTATATCTCATCGCTATTATAAACTTCGTCTGTCTATGTTTGGTTTCTATTTATTAAAGGTGATTTCCAGCGTTTGATAGAAATGTATTGGTAAAAAACACGTGTTACTCTTATTGATAAGCTGATATCTGTATTTCGACTTGACGGTCAATTAATCGGACGTATGTTGTGACCAGTCTTTTGCATTGAATTAGTAACAGCTTAGATATTATACCAATTCTGAAACAAAGCTTATCAAAATTGTAGTCTCATTCATTACGGTACTTCGATATTAATGCAATAAGACTTTTTAACCTTTCTTTCTCTACATGACACTAACGTATCAAAACATTCCCTAAAAGAGGAGGGAATGTTTGAATTTGTTCTCGAAACATCTTCCATATGTTACAGTATATGATCTCATTAAACCTTAATAAGTTCTGATCTGTTCAGATAAGTATTGATCCTGGTTTAATTGTGTTATTGTAAATATTGATATAATATTGATTTAAGGAGCCTTGGCCCTATGTATTACACCGTTTCAGTCATAATTTCGTGCTGTCATTTTCGTATGTTGTATTGACCATTTTAACGCCATTTCATTATAAGAATGCGTAAATTTTCCAAAATTTATATTTCCATATTGTTACATAGTTTCAACTGATTCTGATATTAAATCGTGATAGGGTGGAGTCCCCTTAAGAGACAATGCATATAGTAATCTCCCCATCAGAGCACAGAGCAATTTGCCTCGGATCTGTCTCAAATATTTTCTATTAGAAACCATGCTCATTACAAATGATTTATTGTTTCATTACTTCTGCACAAGAATATTCACTTTGAACACGTTGTATGCCAAAGCAACGATCATTACTGCAGGAGGTGAAGTTTTATGTATATGTATGACTGCATGTGAATGATAGTGATCTATATTTTCAAAGTTCACTCAATTTAAAACCTCAAGAGATGTTAAAAGTATTATGGATGTGGATTTCGTTATGACGTAAAAGAAGTCATTTGCGGTCGTAAACAAATTTATTGTGATTTTATCATATAGACGTCAATATACGATTGGCAATTTGTACGGTCACTTCCTAGCCTGGTTTCCAACAAAGAGGTGACACGAAACTTGTTCGATGTCGATGAGATGGCTGGTGACATACATAATTGCATGGTATATAACATTTACCACATATTACGGAGAAAAAGTTCTACTCGTCGTTAGCTAATATTTCTAAGCGTATAAAGATCTGAGCAGCAGCTTTCTGTGATATTACTTCTATAAGTCCAGGGAAAAGGACATTGCTCATCCAGTTGTTTGATGAATTCTACTACGTCCATTAATTGTAGATATGCCTGGATTTCACCCAGAGTATGTATTTCACTTCTAGTATTTGAAACATTGAGCTCATTCTATGGATGGTAGAATTCCACGTGATGTATCACTTAGGCTCTTGACTAAAGCCGCAATGTCGTTTCATTGTATACTTTGTATGTATATAGTGGGTGGGTGATTCATCTAAAGTCCTCTAAATTATTCAAAGAATTCCGGTTTCATTAACGACCACTGTGACCAGATATAAGAGTATGCATTTACTCGGTTATTTTGATTGTTTATGGAGAACACATTCACAGACCATTATGTTAGTATTTCCACATTGTTGAAATGATGATTCACTGTTGTCCGCGACTTCCTAGGCATGGACTTCTCCCAGACTGAGACTTCTCCCAGACTGTCTCCCAGACTGAGACTTCTCCCAGACTGAGACTTATCCAAGACTGTTCAAGAGCATATGACCGTCTCGTTGGTTCTATGAAAAACTCTACCACATCAGCTTCTGCAGACATCACAACTCACTTCTCTCGAACACGTTGATGTCCTTAATTCAAATCCCATACAATACTTGAAGCATTGTATTTTTCTCAGACGAATTTCTTTCTAAAGTCAATGGCTTTATGCAAAAACTGCGACATCTATTCAAGGTATATCCACACATTGTGAAAGAGACAAGAGTTGTCTACCTTTCCATTAGTGCTATTGAACATGTGTGGATTGAGTGGAAAATTGTATAATCCTTTTTCATGACAGACCTGTTTTTCTGAGTTGGAGCTGTTAAAACATAGCGAGGAGAGGGGTAATTTGCATAGTAACATGAAAATGCATCCGTAGGCAAGATCTCCTGATGTTGAAAGACAGTTAAACAATCGGTAAACATCTAGGTAAGTGTTGAAATATGCCTTGCAAATCTATGTCAAGTCCAAGAAATGTCTCGTCCTCAAAGTTGTAATCATGGTAGGGCATGGATATCACAAGGCACGCGAAAGTATTCTAAAATAACTTCATTTGTTTTTCCTACATGGAAAAGGAGATGTCCTTATGAGTAAGCAGTTATACAATTTACGAAGAGTCGGAACCTGGTGTCAAAGGGCAAGACAACAGTAGGGTGATGAGGAAAGAAATAGGTCATATCAGTATATCACGACATCGAAGGGTTATCATAATTATTTGTTAATTGGATAACACACATCTAAATTCAGGCACCAATAGTACATACATTAATAATATGTAATCTATTAGCCGACTACCGTGATATTCACAGAATACACAAATAAGATATCATATGCGTATATGTGGTATACGTTCATCTGGTGCAGCCACGACTTTGGAGGAATATTATCATTCTGGATATTGTAGAGGTTAGCGCATAGATTGAAGGTATTATCAATAGTGATCCTGATTTTTGACCTTGCTACCCGTTTTGTCCACCTTTTACATTAGTATAGTCAAACTACGATGACCAATTGTTTTTATCTCTAAATAACATTTTGAGTCAAGTCAATAATAAAAAGCTGGAGTAGTCTGAGAACTGGAGAAATGCAAAGGAGTTGGGAAGGTGACAATACCTTTTGTACCGTGTATTGCTCGTGTTGTTTTGTTTTTATCCACTTCAATTTTCACCATCACCCACGCTGGTTGTATCTGTCTCACTGTTGTTTTGGCGACTTTCGCATCTCTCGTTCGGTATTCGTTTTCCAAAATATCAATAATGATAATGATAGAGGGTAGAATACTCCAAGTAAATAGAAACGTAAGGATGATACATAAAGGAGTTTATTTTGCTTTTGCGGCTACACTACAGGTTACGGACAACCCATCTCAGTATATTACAATGAAAAATATTATAATCATTCGTTTGTACATTCACATTTGTTAATAATAGTTTATCGATGGTTCCCAGCGATGTTTCTATATTATGATGTTACTTTGATTAGACGTAGACGCATAACACGCTCACCCTTCCGAACCACCTGGTCTTATTCCCTTTATAATTTGTTCTTGTTAGTTGAATACAGTAATAGCCACTATATCATAAGGGACTATATCAATTACCTGTTGACATATTGTTCATATTGAGCCCAAGTTTTATCGATTATAAGTTTGCATTATGGTTTTGTTGGTACTTTGGTATTCTCTTGTTGTTTTTATTGTAAAGCGTTACGGTCACTTCCAAACACTAGTGAAAAACTAAATCTGAAGAAGAAGTTTTAGAATGTAAAACTGGTTTTAATATGGCTACACTTAGTCCAAATCACATCAGAGTATTTATACGATCTTACTTGATTGTAATGTCTGCAAATGTTATATAATCACTAAAAACTAAATACAAAATATCGACATAATTAAAAGTTTTGTCGAGATATTTATAGATAATGTCGATAAGGCTTATGTCGAAATCTTCAAAAAATTGTGTCGACATACGAATCTTTTTCCATTAGTTCTTGTTCTTCAAAGGAAATAGAAAAAAATACCATATCATAGGTGCAGGTTATAATATTTTACATTTTTCGATAAACAAACAACTGTCCCTCAACGCCATGCATGTATTTAAATTGAGACCGTTCCAGTTGTTCCCATACTCCGTCTGACTGCAGCTTGTCAAATAATGGTAACAGTTTGTCCCGGTATAAGTTGGAATACAGGGTCTCTGTCCGTAGTGTCATAATAATAATTCCACCTGTAGAAAAAACCATCGAAGTGTCAGAAGCATATTGAAATGAAAAAAAAAAAGATTTGCTAACCATACCGCTATAATATATTTTGTGATTAACATTGTATAACAAACATTAATTTTCTAAATGAAATTACGATGGAGTTGTCGGGAGAAATATCATATCATTTCGTCTTCAGTAAATAAAATCAAAGTATAGTGTTACTTGTACCTGGTTTAGTGACTCTTATCATTTCCCTGATGTCAGAACATGTAAAACCGACATTCCCTATAAAGAATATGACACCTACACCTAGGACCGCATCAAAGCTATCTGAAATATACAAACGGAACAGTATGTAATAACTCAGACAACAAGGACAGCATCGTAACTATCTATAACATACAAACGTGATAGGATGTAATAACACAGACAACAAGGACAGCATCGTAACTATCTGTAACATACAAACGTTATAGGATGTAATAACACTGACAACAAGGACATCATTGTAACTATCTGTAACATACAAACGTGATAGGATGTAATTACACTGACAACAAGGACAGCATCGTAAATATCTGTTACATACACACGTTATAGAATGTAATAACACTGCCAACAAGGACAGTATCGTAACTATCTGTAACATACAAACGTGATAGGATGTAATAACACACACAACAAGGACAGCATCGTTTACTATCTGTTACATACAAACGTTATAGGATGTAATAACACAGACAACAACGACAGCATTGTAACTATCTATAACATACAAACGTTAAAGGATGTAATAACACTGACAACAAGGACAGCATCGTAACTATCTATAACATACAAACGTTATAGGATGTAATAACACTGACAACAAGGACAACATTGTAACTATCTGTAACATACAAACGTTATAGGATGTAATAACACAGACAACAAGGACAGCATCGTAACTATCTGTAACATACAAACATTATAGGATGTAATAACACAGTCAACAACGAAATCATCGTAACTATCAATAACATACAAACGTGATAGGATGTAATAACACTGACAACAAGGACATCATCATAACTATCTGTTACATACAAACGTTAAAGGATGTAATAACACAGACAACAAGTACAGCATCGTAACTATCTATAACATACAAACGTGATTGGATGTAATAACAAAGTCAACAAGGACAGCATTGTAACTATCTTTAACATACAAACGTTATAGAATGCAATAACACAGACAACAAGGACAGCATCGTAACTATCTGTAGCATACAAACGTGATAGAATGTAATAACACAGACAACAAGGACAGCATTGTAACTATCTATAACATACAAACGTTATAGGATGGTATAACACAGACAACAAGGACAGCTATGTAACTATCTATAACATACAAACGTGATAGGATGTAATTACACAGACAACAAGGACAGCATTGTAACTATCTATAACATACAAACGTTATAGGATGTAATAACACTGACAACAAGGACAGCATCGTAACTATCTGTTACATACAAACGTTATCGGATGTAATAACACTCACAAAAAGGACATCATTGTAACTATCTGTAACAAACACACGTTATAGAATGTAATAACACAGACAACAAGGACAGCATTGTAACTATATATAACATACAAACGTGATAGGATGTAATAACACTGACAACAAGGACAGCATCGTAACTATCTGTTACATACAAACGTTAAAGGATGGAATAACACAGACAACAAGGACAGCATCGTAACTATCTATAAAATACAAACGTTATAGAATGTTATAACACAGACAACAAGGACAGCATCGTAACTATCTGTAACATACACACGTTATAGGATGTAATTACACTGACAACAAGGACAGCATCGTAACTATCTATAACATATAAACGGTATTACATTAAAACAGTTACAACATATATCACAGCGACAACAAACAGTTACAATATATATCACAGCGTCAACAAACAGTTACAATATATATCACAGCGTCCACAAACAGTTATAATATATATTACAGCGTCAACAAACAGTTAAAACATATATCACAGCGTCAACAAACAGTTACAATATATATCACAGCGTCAACAAACAGTTACAATATACATGTATTACAATATATGTTACAGCGTCAACAAACAGTTACAACATATATCACAGTGACAACAAACAGTTACAATATATAGCACAGCGTCAACAAACAGTTACAATATACACGTATTACAATATATGTTACAGCGTCAACAAACAGTTACAACATATATTACAGCGTCAAAAAACAGTTACAATATACACGTATTACAATATATGTTACAGCGTCAACAAACAGTTACAATATATATCACAGCGTCAACAAACCGTTATAATATATATTACAGCGTCAAGAAACAGTTACAACATATATCACAGCGTCAACAAACAGTTACAATATATATCACAGCGACAACAAACAGTTAAAACATATATCACAGCGTCAACAAACAATTACAATATATATCACAGCGACAACAAACAGTTACAACATATATCACAGCGTCAACAAACTGTTACAACATATATCACAGCGTCAACAAACTGTTGCAGTATATATCACAGCGTCAACAAACCGTTATAATATATATTACAGCGTCAACAAACAGTTACAACATATATCACAGCGTCGACAAACAGTTACAACATATATAACAGCGACAACAAACATGATCAAATATACATTATGTTCAACAGGTGCATACAGATACGACAGCGATAACACATAAGGACAAACAGTGACGACACAAAATCGAATATGACATAAAGTCAATTCAAACAGCAACCATGGGAAGTAGAGAAATACGAAGTAGGCGAATACAATAGCCATTGGAGGATTCATGTTTCATGACCCAAATGTGTTGCTCATTATGATCATATCTGCTGAATCTAGAAAACTAGTACCATCACAATATAACAAAAAACTACTTAACACGGTATAATATGTTGATTATGATTATGATTTAACAGCAAATCATGATTTAACAGCAAATCATGATTTAACAGCAAATTAGCTAGGACTTTTATCTTTGTCTATCATATAGAAGAAATTATTCATTATATTTTAGATATCTGGTTATCTGTATCTATAATGTAACATTATTATATATTATCAATGTGATGCGACACATCAGTACTTGGGCCTAAGCGACCCCAATTAAAGCCTCTTTCTGAATACCCAGCGCACATGATTTGTCGTCTGTAAAGCACCGATGTAACATGGTGTCAGATAATGCGAATTACGCCCATTTATGTTAAATTTCAAATCGAAAACGGAGGAAAGTACCATATGTGTTCATCCTGTAATGTTGTAACCCACGATCTATACATTTATCGGAAAACTGAACATTAATAGGACTCAAGTGTATGCCGCGGGAAAAACAAAATGGCGACCGATGTAAATTGTGAACAGCTCAGGATGGATTGGGACGCAAAAGACATGTATCAAGAGTTTCAACGGTTCAAACAACATGTCAACTTCACATTTAAAGGACCGCTGACACAAGCAGCAGACAAAGATCGTGCTGGCTGGCTGGGTATGTGGATTGGGCAAGCCGGTCGGGAGGTGTACAAACACTGAAATGGGCCGAGGGCGAAGTGGACGACCCCGTGAAAATGCTCGACAAACTTAACGAATATGTGCAACCAAGAATACATAAAAGAGTTGCTAGATACAGAGCACAACAATGTAAACAAAACGAAGGTGCGTCGTTCGACAATTGTGTTAAAGACCTCAAATTGGTGATCTTGGACTGTGAATATGGCGACTAAGATGACATTTTGGTTGATCTAATTGTAAATGGAATCAGGCACGCTAAGATCCAGGAAAGACTTCTAGATCGTGGTCAAGAATTGACATTAGCGAAGGCTATTAAAATATGCCTCAGATACGAAATGTCACAAAATCAAAATCAGCTAAAGGTAATGAAAGGAGAAGAAATATTAGGGAGAAAAAACAAAACCCAACAGCTCGTCGGCATACAGAAAAAAAACACCTTCCAACAGAGGCAGGGCAAACCTGATAAAAGGGTTACCAACACATGTGGCAAGTGCGGTATAGCCCATGACAGGGATAGCTGTCCAGCGAAGGGTACCAAATGTTTGTATTGCCATAAAAACTGACCATTGGTCAAAAATGTGTAGAAAACGCCTCCGAAAGTTGAACAGTATACAAGACGACAAAAAAACGGAATGCTACGAGTATGATGATGATTTTTTACACATATACTCGACTAGTGACGTGTCGCGAATAGCCGATTCAGACAAGTGGGTATGCGAACTTAAAGTGCGGGACAAGCCAATAAAATTTCGCATTGATACTGGCGCAAAGTGCAGTATATTGACTCAAGACACATTTAGAAACATTGACCATGCCAAACTACGGAGGTCATGCAGGACACTCAAGTCATACAGCAACCACAAGGTAGTTCCTGTTGGTACTACGACAGTGCATATTGAGTACAAAGGGAAACAACTCTCTATAGGGTTTGAGGTTGTCAACATAGCTCAGGAGAACATTATAACGGTGATATAGCAGAGCAGCTAGGGCTACTACAACGTATCAACGTTTGTTCACTCGAAATAGAGCATGATTTTCCTGAGCTCACCAAAACGACTGGAACTCTGTCCGGATACTACAAGGTCCCGATTGACGATAATACAAAGGGAGTGGTACACGCCGTGCGGAAGTTACCAGTAGCTGTCAAGGAACGAGCCATAGAGAAACTACGTGAAATGGAAGCAGACAGGTACATTGCTAAAACTTCATTGGGTCAGGTTCATGGTCGTATCCCTTCGCAATGACAAGGTGCGTGTGTGCATAGATCCTAAAGATCTAAACAATGCGATTAAGAGAGGATCACGGATCAAATGTTGGAAGGAATCGATGGAACATTCGCGATCATTGATGATATACTTATAGCAGGTCAAGACATGGCATACCATGACAAGATACTGAAACAAGTCGTAGAACGTGCGATGAGGTACAACCTGAAGCTAAACTTCAAGAAATGCTGTATTAGGCAACCCAAAGTGGCATACATGGGTAACGTGATCACAGCTCAAGGACTATCAGCCGACCCAAGAAAAGTTGACGCTATAGTAAACATGCTTGCACCAACGGACAAGGATGGTGTACGCAGGTATTTGGGATTAGTCCAATATCTCGCCAAATACATACCTAATCTCAGTCAGGTTGATGCGCCAATACGCAGTCTTCTCAAGTCGAACATATAGTTTTCATGGGATCATGAACAAGAAACTAGCTTCCTTCCGAGAGTTGAAACGTCTGTGTAGCACTAGTCCAGTACTCGCATACTACAACGTGAACAAGCCAGTTCAGATTGAGTGTGACGCTAGTAAGGACGGGCTAGGAGCAGTGCTCCTGCGGGGAGAACACGTCATCGCATACGCCTCGCGATCTCTGACAGAAACCGAAAAACGATATGCTGAAATGCTTGAGATTGTGTACAGTGCGACTAGGTTCCATCGCTTTACATTTGGAAAGGACACTACTATATGTTCGGACCATAATCCACTGGAACAAATATTCGTGAAACCACTTCTGTCAGCTCCAATGAGGATACAAAAGATGATGATACGACTGCAAGGGTATGACCTGTCAGTACAATATCTAAAGGGTAAGGACATGCATATTTCTGATGCACTTTCCCGCGAATTTCTGCCTTCGACAAAGGAAAGTGGTCTGCCCGAGTTGGACAACCCCCAGGACATGGTGAACATGGTATCTGTGAGCGCGGAGATATACCGAGATCCAGGTCAACACTCAGAGAGAGAGATTACGGTCCTCTACAAAGTCATTATAGACGGATGGCCAGACACCAGAGGACAATGCCCTATAGAAACACGACCGTATTGGGATTCCCGTGATCAATTATCAGTTCTCGATGGAATTATATACAAGGGACTCCGGTTGGTAGTACCGCCCAGCCTCCGTCGTAACATTCTGGAACTGACTCACAAATCGCACCTTGGTATCCAGAAATGTAAACATCGTGCCCGTGAAGTTGTTTATTGGCCACAGATGAATGCTGAAATCGAGGAAAGGGTGGCTAACTGTACACAGTGTGTAGAGAATCAAAAGCACCAGAAACCTCTGAGACCGGCCAACACCCCATAACTGCCTTACAGTCACCTAGGATGTGATTTGTTCGATTTTGAGTCCAAGAAATACATTCTGTTAGTGGACTACTACTCCAAGTACATAAACGTTCTTCGTCTCGAGTCTGAAACAACCCGTGAAATCACCTGTGCTATGAAAACTCTGTTTGCCTGTCATGACATACCATTGAAAATCCGCTCGGACAATGGGCCACAGTTCACGTCATCAGAATTTAAAATATTCTGTAAGGACCTTGGGATTGAGCATGAAACTTCAAGTCCTCACTTCCAAAGCTCCAACGGTGAAGCTGAGAGAGCTATACAAACTGTCAAAAATCTGTGGAGAAAAACGAAGGAGAAACAAATGGCACTCCTCGACTACAGGACGACACCCTTAGAAGGAATCAAGTCGTCACCTTCTCAACTTTTAATGGGCAGACGACCTCGTAATAACATACCTGCGGGTAAGGAGCTGCTCAAACCAGCCAACCACAACTCTGAGGCGATTAGACAACACTTCAACACTGAGAAAGGTAAACAAAAGTTTTACTATGATAATCGCAGAGATGTCAAAGAGTTACCTCCCTTTGACATTGGCTTCAGTGTACGTATCAGCCCCCAGCCAGGTTTAAAGACATGGCGACCAGGAACAGTGACAGAACTACATAGCAAGCCACGCTCCTATGTTGTTAAATGTGACAGTCGTCTATATCGCAGGAACCGGAGACATTTCAAAACATCGACCGAAGCTGCCAATCGTAACACACACATGGACGTAGAGATAGGAGAGCCGCCAGATCTTCTGGACACCTTCAGAAAGGAGAAACAACAGGACCGACGCACAGCACAACAAGAACCGTCTGTGTTCCCACCTGGAACCCCTACTCCACCAGAAACTGTAAGTGAGAGTCCCAAATACACTCATCATACAACAAGATCAGGCAGACAGGTTAAAGCGCCGATGAAATTGGACTTGTAAACAATCAACTGTTTTAACCGGAACCTGCCTAAACCAGATTCTCTGTCATTGAACTGTGAACCTGTCTAAAGTGAATTGCAGTACACTGGACATTTCAAACTGTTACGTTATGTAGTTGAGTTCGAGACCTGCACTGTGTTTTGGGGCATAATAAACCCTGTGCAGTCTTTTAGAATAAATAGTTCTAGTCAGTTTAAACACTAGTCATGTTAAATTGTTTGTTAAAATACCATATACACTTTTGTCTAACTTCAAGTTATCACTAACGAGTTATCCAAGCTATTAATATCAAAGGACTTGAACCACAAGAACTGTGTTAAAATAATGTGTTTTATCATGGCTTAGCCTCCACTATATTTCATATTGTATCAGTTAATTATAAGTGATTTTTCAATCTCATTATAAAGAGAAGGATTTAACAGTATTATACATTATCAATGTTCTAAGCGACACATCAGTATTTGGGCCTAAACGACCCCAATAAAAGCCTCTTTCTGAATACCCAGCGAACATGGTTTGTCGTCTGTAAAGCACCGATGTAACAGTCATCACATTTAATGCAGGGAACGATTTGCGATGCATTTTTAACCTTAAACGTTTCAGACAAAAGGAATATCTGTTCGACTACATAAATAGTTTAACAGTCACAGTATCTGTATTTGATTAAAACAATCAATAAATTTATTTATAAATTTCCAAAATGATACCCGACTTTATTCACCTATATGCTAATACCACCTTAACACAAAAGTGGTATCAATTGTACAGTACCTCCCTCTAGTGGCGTAGAGTTATGTCCCTTTACTTCCGCTTTGATCACATTCCGATAAATACACCTCTGTCGTGCAATTGCCAGCATCTCATCAGCTGAATCCAAAATGTCGATTACCGCAAATCCTTCTTTCTTCAACTTTAAAAGATAATATCAATGAGATATTATAGAGCTTAGTTCGACAGAAAGGCAATGGTTCTATGACTCCTATGTCATACAATGGGATGAGAATGATTGATGAAGGACAGAACCATCTTTATCATGTAAAAGTGGGGGTATCAATAGAGAGCAGCACTCTGATTAAAAGGGCATTAGCGGTCAAATTTGATGTAAACATCGTGCATTGAGATTTTGACAGGTAAATCAGTCAGGGATGAACATGTAGATAAGAATGGTTGGCTGAATTTCCAGAGTCAGACTTGTGTGATTGAAAAAAACCACATATATTAGTTTTTATTTTGAAAGGAGAAAGCCACTTTCAATAGGTGGTTCGTACTCATGAAAAGTTAATCTACATGTTTTGTTAAAAAGGGAATGTACTAGGAGTCTTAGGGAGATATTACAGTGAGGGACAGGTAGCCTACTCCAGAAAAAGGGAATGTCACGGTCACAATGTGAAGTTAGTAAAACAATTAGTCCAGAATTAGTTGTCAAGAGCTTCACAAATATTGTTTTATATTGAAGATCAAGACAACATAACAATCACCTGCTCCTTCCAAAGTTTCACTATAGGAGAATAGTGAAACTGTTAACGTGTATAAACTTTTTTTTTTATGATCAAGAATAATGTTTCAACAATCAATTATTATCATTGATTAACACTTATAGTAAGCTATATATCTTTTTTTGCATTAATTAAAAAAAACCCGCAACAATTGCATGCAAAAATATCGTTAATATTTATACACCGGTCGCTGTAACGTTTGGTATTTAATATGAAATAAACAACCAACAAAATATTTGCGCGAAATACATAGTTTACTGTATTATTTTCTAACCTCTTCTCCAACTAAACCAGTTCCTCCTCCGATATCTAGAATTACTTTATTCTTCCTGTCATCTGTAAATATCGCGGCCAAAGCTCTAGCAGCAGTAGATGGCCCTTGATAGCCTTTTGCCTCCAACTCCTGAAGAAGAAGAAGAAAAAGAAACGTAACACCGACATGCCTGTGTTTTAATTTCATGACTGAGTGCTCTCTGAATATGCTACATTTGACATGTGTATACAGTTCTGTTATGCTACCTGAACATTTATCTCTCCTTGTGATCTTGTTTACATCAATAGTTTTCCTAAATGAAACGGAAAGTGTTTAAAAGACTACCAGTACTCTAATGGAAACTAACTGTGTTTCTCTTCGAGCTGACCTCAACTTGTCCTGTATTTATTATCTTATGAGACTGGGAATATACAAGGCTATAAAAGAAAGGAGACTAGAATCAGGGACGGGTCGGTCCCACACTTTTAAATTATTAATCATATTTTGTCACATAAATCATTTGGGGAAACAACATGAATTATTTGGTGGAATAGTAAAACAATCTCGTCAAATGAGATATAATGACAATATATAGATCATCCAGAATAAGACGTCGTCTGAACATAGAAAAAGACATTTACATTTTCGATAACTGCTTTAGTTCTGATATTCTGTGGTTTATTACATTAAGATTCTTATGAAAGAGATTACAATCAAGGTATACTACTGCTAGTTACAAACAAATACGTTTGCAATTCATTGTATGTACCATCAGACATAATTTAAAGAGAATAGCTATCAAATTATATATTAGCTTGTGAGTATGTAAATCATGAATATTACGTGTTTCACTGAGTGTTGAAGTTTGTTCTCCAACTTACCCACCAGAAAACAGTTACAGCCTCAGATATATATAACTGCTCCTTGTTTTTCATCACCTGAACACAATTTTTAAACACTTTACCTGATCATAGCTGCACGCCCTCTCATTATACAGTAACGCAGATTTACAGCTGGACACAGCCACTTTGCCTTCATCCATGGTTATTTATACTTCACAAGTCAAATTCTGTGGCAAAAGGATAAGATGTAAAGATATATTACCGAAAGGTATAAAATAGATGAATACATTCAAACGTGCGTGGATAGTATACCTCTATATGTATGGAAGCCCGGTAATGCCACAGTTAATACATATTTAAAGGATATATACAGGAAGAAATATCACAAATAATGTATAATGCAAACCTCCCTTACAAGATGAGTTGGATTTTGTTGAGACGAGGAAATCGGTTATGTCGAAAATTAGCATTACTGATATCGCGAGATGCATGAACGAGCCACTCCGTGGTTCTGGATATATGCATGGTTGCTACAGGATGTATTTTAGTTGTTTACATCCCGGAATGACAGTTTCAATGAACATTCTATATGCAAATTCCGCATCCCGCAATGCATTGAAAGAAGGTAAAGAAGTCGATTTAGACAAATGTCATTTGGTTTGAATCGACCACTTTTCCTTCATTCAGTGCATTTTGCAAAGGGTCCAACTTAATTGTGGGTTTAAAATGTGCATAATATGGTTAAATGTCTACTATACAAGTAGTTACCCTGGCCGCTTGCATAATAATACTGCTATATAGAAACTGTAAGTGAATTTTGTTTACTTTCTTCACATTGTACACGGAAACATGAGGACTGAAAATGGTCTTGGTGCACAAGTGCAGGTATTGTTGTCTGTAGGAGAGGTTCCTTTAGGGAACAATCATGCACAACCAGTTAACAAACTGTGGTATATTTTAATCAAACAATAGTGTAGATTATTGTGAGTACACTGATGCATACCATTGATGTGAATCTGATAAAGTTCTTAGTTCTTTTTTTAAATTTATTTTTCAAATTTTTATGTTAGACAAGAGTAAAATAATTCAACGGAAAAAGCGTTTTTAAAATTGTAAAAGTCCCTTATGACAAGAATATAATGAGCTATTTCTTATGATTTCGTCTGTTCTGTTGTTCGATAGATATGAAACCTTAGGAGCATCAGCAGTTTTTAACAACAGTTACCTACTGAGTCATCTTTATTGAACGACAGGACTATATGGTGCAGTTAACTGTTTACATGTAATTGTAAGATTTTCAAGTAATTGCTTTCTGTCCTTGTACTTCTAGTAAGTATTTGCCTTACAATCTTACTGTTTTAGTTTATCAAGGTAAAGATACTGAATGTTGAGTTTATCGATTAAATAATAATGATATAATTTTGTTTTTATTTTTTATATTTTTTACTGTATCAATCATTTTACACAGTCTTTATCATATACATTTTGCATATTTCGCATGCATCAACCATACATATACTTGCATTTTTGTCCATGAGTAATAGTTGTTACACAAAAATATGCATGTTTTATGTACTTTATATTTACATGTGTTCAGAAGTTGAGACAAAAAAAAAAAATCAAGGATATATTTGACACTTTCCCATTTCTGCCTGGTCTTTCTTGCTGCATTCGGGGTCAGTATATAAGCTGAATACAGATATAAATTTCTATAGTTTCTCATATTGTTTTTAAAAGTTTCCCATTCAGGTAATAGTTTGTACTAAATAATGATATAATAGTTAAATATGATGTTATCATTTACTTAGTACCTCCTCTTGGCTACATATACCTGTTGATAAACCGATTACAATGGTAAATCAGCACACTCGGTAATAGTTATCAAATCATTATCATTATTATTGAATGTGGAATTACAACATAACGCATAAGCTCCATGATCCTTATGTACATTTATTAACCTCTTTGATATTTTTCAGATTGAGTAAAGTAGGCCCGATACCCAGATCAAAAGTAAGGGACGTGAATGTATTTTGTAAAGTCTTATTCAATCATGCCTATATTGATGCCCTGTCGTTTTCCGTAGTAAAATTAGCCAAAAATACTATTTTGATATAATAATACTACAATATATTATGCATTTCCCCAGAACCACAGAGTTGCTCGTTATTGCATCTCGCGATATCAGTAATGCTAGTTTTCGTCATTACCGATTTCCTCTTCTTAGCGAGGGCTTTCCACGTAACAAAGGAATTGGAGGTCGTGTGCTAAGCAATTGGCGGCCTAGCTTCCAGATAACTAGTGGCAATAATTAATAAATAATAATTTTCGTATTATAGCTCTAACGGGCCACCGTAAATGTCTACCGGCTTGTCGCCTCACTGAATCTATGTGAACAAAATGTATATGGAATACTTAAAAAAAAGGTTAACATTATTACCTGCTTTGCAGCTAAAACATTTTAGTGCATAAATAATTTAATATTCACTGGAGTTTATAAAGCTGGTGACCTTCAATAAGGTGACAGACATTACGACAGGTATAACATAATATGATCTAAAATGCGTTTAACTTTCCGCAACACCTATCACAGTCTCAGTAATTTTTTTAACACTGGTTTGCTTATATGTCTCTTCTCGGATCCTGTTTTTATTTAGTTTCAAGTAACTTTGTTTAATTGTATATCAACTAACTCACCTGCCTCGAAGTGTCTGTCCTGCTCTGCTGTGGTATCGTACGTCAGTAGTCTATCAACTAATTTTTTGGACCATCTGTGCAGAGTAGTCTTAATATTTGCAGATAAGGTAACTGTGGTATTTGCAGGTAAAATACACCTAAATACCAAATTTTGAGTAAATTCGAAATATATCTGAATTTTGACCAGAAGATAGTGAATGGTGACCAACTTGTTAAATCGTTAAACCGAAGTCGAGTTAGTTGTTATAGTTCTCAGTGTCATATTGTAGGTATTTGTCAACTCTGATGGAAATCGGACATTCTCTACATTTAGACCAATCAGAAGCCATAGCAGGGCAGCCAGTATGTTCAATGACTAAACTGCAGTCTAGTTGTAGTTCGCAATGCCATAATATACCTAAAGATCAATTTTGTTCCAATTTACAAAATAAAAGTTATAGCCAAAGATTGTCACGAGCAAGTAGAATTTAAGCTTCTGCGGCCATGATTGACGATAGAAGAAGAAGAAAAAAGAAGAAAAAAACCCAGTTAGACTAGATACTTTTTAATTATTTGATATAAATATTGATATAATATATGAAAACAAGATTAAGTATAAAGGTTGAAGAAAAGATATCTAAAATATATCAAAAGAATTCTTTTAAAACTGCTTTTTGATTTAGAGCTGAATTTTTATTTCATATGGAAAATTCATATCTAATTATTAGTAAATATACACCTACGAAATTGCCATTTCGATAATTGAATATTATTTAATAATACAATATTACTATAAATTATAGCTTGTAAGTCCCTCTGCATTACTTTAAAATCAGCGTGAACACTGTTGTGGTTTTATATCTGGCAACAATTTGTGTCATAAAGACATTTGTGTGAGAATAATTAACGTGATCATCATAACAAAGAACTGGAGAAACAACTAAAAAACACTTCTTAAACTTGTGAGTACAAGCTACCAAATTTAATTAAATTTCATTAAATAATAAAATCATTTTTATTTTTCATTAACTTACGGCATTGATTAAATGTATCGTATCTGCTACAATGAGACGAAGTGTATAAATTAACATTAACAAACCAAGGAGAGTTATGGGCGGATTGATTGAGTGGTTAACACTCTGGCCTTCCGTATGGTGGCTGATATATGTCATTTCGTCTTTTCGCTTTGTCGCCCGCGAAATAACGCCAAGCGAAATAACAAAATAACGAAATAACGCCAAAGCGCCAAAGCGAAAAGACGAAATAACGCCAAAGCGCCAAAGCTAAATAACGAAATAACGCCAAAGCGCCAAAGCGAAATAACGAAATAACGCCAAACCGAAGTGAAAATAACGCCAAAGCGAAGAGATAAAATGGCGTCTTTTCTCCCTCCTTTTGGCGTTATTTCGTTATTTAGCTTTGGCGCTTTGGCGTCTTTTCGTCTTTTCGCTTTGGCGCTTTGGCGTTATTTCGTCTTTTCGCTTTGTTGCCTTCCGGTTCTGGATATTAAAGAAACGCTATCTTCGTGATTATAATTCCCCAATGACTTTGCTAGTGAAATGGAAATTAAAATGCACAAATGTGACTTATGTTTCAGCATTTTAGGAAACATTTTACAACAACAATGATTAATATGTTTATCATTGTTAAATTAAAGAAAACAAATAAATGTTTGTGTCCTTCTGTTCGTCCATCCGCCTGTCTGTCTTCTGTAGGTATGCTGTATGTATTCCAACCAACAGAATATACTTTTCTTATTGGCTTAACAATAAGAAACATGTACGTGATTACACGTATATGTATACGATGAATTTCGTCGATGATAATAGTTTTATTTGTTCTGTTTTATGGTTTTTTTTCCGTTAATGAAATAATGTCATTACATTCTGCATAGTTATACCCATGTGTTATAAATGTGGTGTACGTGCTCTGTATATATTTAAGGAGAGGGCGCTGATATTACTTGAGAAAAAAACCCCATAGAAAATAATAAGCGCGCGTAATAGGACGAGAAAACAGTTTTCCTGCGTTATATATTTATAAAAGATAGTATCCTAAATAGTTAAATTACATTGTCACGATTGAGTCTGACACATAAATAACCGAAAATAAACGGGGGGGNATGTGATGTCTATATGAGAGTGCAAGTTTAAAAAAATCAAGTACCTACAAATGTAGTTAGCAAAATGTGTAGGCATCCTTTTATCATGTTTTGACATATAAGTATATTTAAACTTTATACAACTATAATAGCGGTAACACTCGTTTTAGCACGGTGTACGGAACTACTAGGTAGTGAAGCGGACGTAAAACAAACAATTAAAGCTCGGACCAATAGTGCGTGACTCGATTGACGTAGACAAGCTCCGCCCAACAGGCAATGCCCAACCAATTGTCGGATTGCATCAACGACCGAGGAGAATGAGGAAGGAATTTGAGTCTGTTTAAGTTTCATTTTCTGAATACCGGAACCTAAACCCAAAGAATAATATTATTTGCTGCATTGAACTCTATATCTCCAACAATTGTTCTCCCGATATCGCCCAGGTGACGCTTTCTTGCTGGTGTGATACTCTGCTTAGATCATTTATTGTACTGTACTGTCTAGATTAGCATTCTCCGTAATTT